TTAGCGCATTAGCCAACAACTTTTTGGAACTGCCAGCTAGAATAACATGGCTTGGGTCCAAGTGTGGGGGCTGGTGTTCAGACCCAGCAGCTCTCTCCACAGCTTTTCTTTGCTGTTGCTTCTGCCCACCCCATAGCTGTAGAATGGTACAGCTTCCAGTTGCTCTGCCCCGGTGCAGACAAAGCTTCCAGGCTCTGTTGGTCTGCTTACAGTGGCTCTGTGAGACGAATATTGCTGACCTGTTCCAGAGCAAGGGCTCATTTCTTCCCTTTTCTTATTCCCTTTCCATCCTAAGAAGCAGTTTCTAGCCTTGCAGATCCCAGTACAGATTTCCTTTGCTTTATGCTGTACGTACGTTCCTGAAAATGGCACATAACTGGAATTTGCATAAAGGGAACCCACTTTACACAGGGTGGTGGTGAATATTTAGTTGGTGTGAAGAGAGGGTGGTGAAGGCTTCACTGATAGACCGGGAAGAGGGGTAGGAGATAAGCTAGCGGGATGCGTATAAATCATAATGGGGATGGCAACTACAGAAACGGGTGTCACAGACAACGAGCAAGGAGTACAGATCCACACAGGAGACTATATTTTGGTGCGTGTCACTCCCACAATACACTGCACAGAGCAGCTGACTGTGGGCTGCCATCACACCGATCGCATAAGAGTGAATTTACCTTGCATATACAGTAAAAGGTCTGTTAACCGGCATCTTACAAGCTGGCGTGCTCAATTAACTGGCATGCCGGTTTGTAAGATAAAGTGAAACCAGAAGTGCCTACTGCGGCACTTCTGGTTTCTCCGAGCCCCCATGGCCTGGGGCAAAGCAGCCTGCACTGCCGAGCCCCCATGGGGTGCCTGTCTCCCTGTCCCGTGAGGCAGCAATGTCACGGGAGGGGCAGAGGCGTGCCCTAGATGCAGCGGGAGAAGCGGTGGCCCAGGCCACTCAATTAACCGGCATATTTTGTTATCCGGCATCCCCCATTCCCTAACAGAGCTTTTAATATAACAAATTTTTGTATAAAAAGGGTTACTGCATAAGAGTGAATTAGCACATACAGAACCCACATAAAGCAAGGGAAACCTGTATATCTGGCCGGAGTCTGGCCTAGTCTTTAATTCTTTTTTTTTTTTTTTTTTTTTTTTTTTTTTTTTTTAAGAACAAAAAGAGAGAGAGAGAGGAGTATTGACGTGACAGAAACATGACTAGCCATTATTGGCTGCAGGAGACATGACTTTTGTCTTTGTACATCATAATGTTTGAGTTGTACGTAACTTTTGCCACAACTGTTATTCTTATGTAGTTTTGCTCCTGCCTTGTAAACATAATTCTGAGAGGGAGCATGTTGAAGGATCAAGCCAAGTTGTAACCATGAAACTTCCATTTGCTTGCTCAAATGAATTGCATTGTCTGTTCATTTTAAAATATAAAAATGGATATGGGGGGAAAAATGGTGTTTTGCCTTTAAGGTGATGCATATCTAGGATTACAATATTACAATTGGTTGGGGCATAAAGCTTGTACAATGGGTATATTGTTTAGCTTTATTATAGTAGATGGGTTTGGTGCATTTATACATGGACTTGAATCAGTCACTGGATATGTCCAGTTGTTTAAGTTAATGATGATTCAGCAGTAGCACTAGGCTCTCCTTATAAAGGAAAATGGTTTGCTATTTGCTTTTTTTTTTTCTTCCTTCCTCAGAAATTTCAGCTGTTGCTATAAATTAGTGAAATTATCCCCCTCCAGGGAATCACTATTTAATTTATTGGGACATTTTGGTTATATTTAGTCTCTCATCTATGAGAACAAGAAGTTTCTTCATTAGCACTTTAAATTAGTGTTACCCAATCAATGCTGGCTTGTGGGCAGCAGTGCTGAGCAAGTAATGCTACAGACAACATCATGCTTCGTTGTCTCTGCCAACTTCAATTTTAACTTTCTAACTGCCTGTGGCCAGAGGTGGTGTTGGAGGGGTCCCATGGGCAAGGTCACCTGAACCATGGATTAGTGACCACTGCCTTAAGGGTTCCTCTTCAACACCTTGTTGAGCCATGTTACTATTTCCCTCACTCTGTTTTTTATTTCTTAATGTATTGTTTGTCCCCGAGTCTCCTACTCCCTACTCTGGTCTCATCCATTTTCGTTTCTTTCTAACAATTGCTGGATGCTCCCTGACTCAATACTGATTCATCGTCTTGCTTATTTCCTCCTGTGAACTTGTCCATTCAGCGTTCTTACGTTTTCCTCCCTCTGTTCTTTCCATGCGCAGACTTCTCCCAGGCACAGCCTCCACTTGTTGTTCAAGCTCACTATCTTTCCATTCATTTTTTTTCCATTTCCTATTTACATTCTGTCTCATACTTGCACATGAGCATTTAGTTTACATACACATATTCATGCCAGTTAAACCAGTCTGTATAGAGAGGTGTTCCCAGAACAGGCAGGTCAGACAGAGCAGGTAGAGGAAGTGACTTAACCTTCTGCTTTTCAGGCCATAGGACTATGGGGCAGTATATGTTCTCAGGCATAGTTTCCATACACTTTTATATTAGGGATGTAAATAGTTAAAAAACAATTATATGTATACCTTTACTGCTTACTGTTTAGTAACCTCTGGCAGGGACAGCCCTGGCCCCCTTATGTCTTAACTGTGCTTCTGGTGGTGTGTGTGCCCCAGGCTACTAGTGGGGTGTCATGGGTGGGAAATGGTGGGTGCAGCTGAGCCACCATGGGGCACTGCCTAGCTGCAGAGCCATGGCTTTCTCTTACCCCCACAGGCTGGGGCTGTGGACCTCTCCTGTGCCTAGATTGTGCTGCTTTGTGGAGGGGCATTCCTGAGGCGTGATAGCACAGCAGGGATCCTGGGGGCAGCATTAGGGCTGCAACAGCAGTCTTCCAGGCTAGAGCTGCTGTACTGTCACCCCTCAAGAATCCCCTGAGGCTGTGCTCACTGTGCGAGGGGCTGGCAGTGATCCTTTAGATCCGGCACTGCCTGCTCCAGTTGCCACAAAGCTGCCTTTGGGCCAAGACAGCTGCATGCTTAATCCCCTTCAGGGCTGGGCCGGGCCCCGCATGGTCCCAGTGCCATGGACAAGAGGGGGAAGGACACAGTGTGCCTGGTGGAGTCCACCCTGCTGGGACTGGACCCCGTTTTCCCCCTGGAGGAGCTGGGGAGGTCCTGGCCTGGCAGCGTGGAAGAGCCTTCCAGGTCTGGGCTGCAGCAGCAGGCACAAGTGCAGTGGGAGGCGCAGGGAGCCTGTCGCCCTGCTTGGGCCCCACTGCTGCAGGGGCTTGGGCAGACCCACTGTGGGGCTGGGAGTCTTGCTGCTATGGTGGGAAGGCCCCATCTGACACCTGTGGGGGGCCTGGCAGGGGAAATACCATGACCATGATGGTGGTAGGGGAAGTACCCTGACTGAGGTAACACAGTTAAAATGGCACTGTGCAGGGGTGCACCAATAGATTTTGTGAGTCTATACCGATGGCTGGGGTGTGTGCAGCGGCTGAGCAGTACCTGCCCCAGGCCCTGCCCCACTCCTTCCCTCACTGCGAGGGTTTGATCTGTGGCCCCCCGCCCCCACCCAAACGCCTCTTCCTCCACACCAGACTTGCTGCTCTCCAAGCTGCCGGGCTACGCTCCTGGCTGCATGCATGCAAAAAAAGCTGATTGCTGATGCTGTAAATTTTCCCTATACACAGTGCTAGAGGTGCACCAATAATGGAGGTTTGCACCCATGTTTCTTTGTGGATAGGACTCTGAGAGCCTCATAGTTAGCTTCCCACTGGCCAGCTTCCAGTGGGAGGATCTTGGCTACACAACGACTTCATGGAAATGGGAAACTCCTCCCTAGCTTGCTCCTGCAGCCACATGTCCAAGGGCAAGTCAAACTCGAGGTCATCCGAACCCCAAGCTTCTGGGCTTGGGCCTACAGGTAGGATGCCTGCCAAAGGATTTGGAAGCATTTGAAGCCCCAGGTGCGGGTGGAGGATATTTGTCAGTACAGTAGTAGTGTCACATTGGGTTCTTGAATAACTTACAGATTTGGAATTGATTTGTCTGATTTGACTTGGAACACGAAAAAGCTTCCTTTAAAAAAAAAACAAAAAAAAAAAACCTGCGGGGGGCCTGGCACCTCTCTGCCTCCCTGTGGTGGCAGGATTTGAGCACAGGAAAGGTCTGCAGCCTCAGCCCCTTCCCATAGGGATGAAGGGAAGCTGTGGCTCTGCAGCTGGGCAGTGACCCTTAGTGGCTCAGCTATGCCCACTGCCAGCTCCCCAGTGGCCTGGGGCCCTCACTGCAGTGGGTGCATGGTAAAGGTTTAAGGGACTTAGGCTGGTCTGGGGCTGGGGCCATTCCTGCTAGAGGTCACTGAACTAGGTTAACTGTTTAACCGATGTAACTGGAGGAGATTAAACAGATAATTTTTAAAAACTATATTTACATCCCTATTTTATATTGTGAATAACTTTGTAGGGTACAGATTAGAACTAGGGCTGTGCGAAGCGTCAGTCCCTGATTTGATTTGGCTTGATTTAGTGGCCGAAACTTCAAATCCAAATTGAATCAGAGGACCCTTTAATCTTTCCAAATTGATTCGGAACCTTCCAAATTGATTCGGACAGATTCGGTGATTCAGACGTAGATACAGCTTTAAATGTTTTTTCTACATACTTCTAGGTAGCAGGGCTCGTGATCTCGGTGGTGCTGGGGCTCATGGAGTGGCCCACAGAAGCATGGGGGATTCTCCAGTGCGCTTAGCAACAGACCTAGAAGTGGACCAGAAGCATTTCCAAGTCCACCAGGGAACATGCTGGGGGGCCTCCCTGTGCACCCCAGGCTCAGCGACTCATGCCTCCTGTGTCTGGGGGGGCACCCGGGGTTCCCCTGTGGCCAATTTGCTGGTCCACTTCCGAGTTTGCTGCTGAGGACATAGAGTGCCCGCCTGGACAAATGTGGGATGCTCCATGCGTTCCAGCATGATGGTAGTCACGTGCCATGCTGCTACCTCAAGGTATGTAGAAAAAACTTTTAAAGCTGTGTCCATGTCCAAATCACTAATTTGCTGAATCAGCATTGAATCATCAGATTCGGATTCGGCTGAAATTGAATCGGGGACAGCGATCCGAATCAACGGATTGAATCTCTGTCCCTGATTTGGGCCAAATCTGAATCGAATAGGACCCATTTTGCACACCCCTAATTAGAACCTTTGTGTTATACTTCTGCCCCTTCAAATGCTAGAGCAGAGGGGGCCAACCTTCTTGCAGGCATGTTACAAATTAGCTCTGCCACCCCTCCCCAAGTGCCAGTCTTCCCATTCCTGAGCTGCTGCTGTTTTTTGCTTCCTTCCCTGTAACGCTTGTCTGATTTGCTTCTTTGCTTTCTGTTCCCTGCTCTGTCTGCTGCTGTGCTGCCTGTCCCCTCCCACATCTGCCACAAGATATAGAGCCTCTCTATGAAGCTTGTGGCACCTATGCTACAGGATGGGGTAGCACTAGATCAGTGATTCTCCCCTGGGGTTTTGTGAGATCCTTTGAAGGGTGCGGTGGCTTTTCCATGGGCCAGACACCCCATGCCTGCCTCAGCCTGCTGTGCTCTGAGCAGCATGCTCTCTTGCGGGTAGGCAGGCAGAAGTGAGGCCAGGCTTTTTAGCTGGTGGGAAGGGTCAGAGGGAAAGGTGGTTCCAGTTGCTGGCAAATTGCTGGAAGAGTGGCTGTAACCTTGGGGGCCATATTTCCTTCCTGCTGCCCGCCCCCCACCCCCCCCAGGTACAAACTAGGGGTAGGGAGGGGGCAGATGGTGGGAAGAGCAGGTCACAGCAGGGTTTGGCTCCCTGCCAGCTTCATCTGGCACTAGCCTCAGCCTCCAGTGGCCACCATCCAGAGTTTGAATAACACTTTGACTCTGCGGGGGGGGAGGTCTGCAAAAAAAATTAAACCAGTTCATTGATTAACAAGTCCACCTAAGTGACCGAGCCGTCTGATTGGAGATCACCCCCCGGTTATGATTTTCAAATCTTAAACGGGGGGCTCTCATCCCTTATGGTGGGGCTCAGCTCCTCTTGAGCTCCTCCTTAATTTGCACCCTGCCACTATCACCCCTTCTGATTCCAGTGGGGACAGCTGCCTCCTTCAGGGCTGTAATGGCTCAACCCAAGCTTCCCAGTCTGCCCCACTGAGCGGCTCCTGCCAGTGCTGAACATTTTACACCTTTCCTTGCCATGCTTTCAAGGTTGCCCTGCCCATTGCTGTCTGCCTTGCCCTCCTTCTTCCCCCAAGGTCCTTTTAAGGGTGTAGCAGGGTACAAAAGGTAAGCACTGTAGGAAATGAATTAGTTCTCAAATGAGGTGCCACTAAATTTTGAAAAGTTATGGGTAGAGGCCTTGAGTCTAAAAGTTGAGAACCACTACACTAGATTAAAATAAGCCTTTTTATCTCTGGGTGCCATGATTCTGATAACAGCATAGTGTCCTTTCAGCTCTGGCTCTTGGTTACAGAAAAATGTAATGTTAGGACAAGAGTAAGGTGATGAGTTGAAATCAACTTGCTCCATTGTGACTGGTTGCAGCTGTCTGTCTTCCCTGTTCTCCTCCTGGATCGTAAACCTGTTGAACATAGTGGATAATAGAGTCCTTACTTTAGTTTCCTCTTTAAACCCCTGGACAACACTGATTTGTTTTTTTCTCCTTTTATATTATTTGCACTTTCAGGAATGTTTTAAGGGAAGCTGGGCTACTCACAAGCTACTACACAAGAAAGCAAGTAAGTAAACTCTATGTAGTCTTCAAATAGTTTCGAATTTGTATATGTGCAGCTGTTTTTTCCTTATTATGTATTTCCTCCCTCACACTCTGGCTTCAAAAAGTTGAATAAAGGCTATCCTTTAACTAGTTCAATGATAGGGGTGCACTGATAGTGATTTTTGGGGCCGACACCAATATCTGATTTTTTAAAGGAGGCATGTCAGCTGATACTGATCTGATTTCCGATGTAGTGTGGCGAGTTGCTTCCAGCTGGTAAGTCCATTGTGGTGGGAGGGAAGGGGCATGAGGGGGAAGATCAACCCCCCCCCCCACGGTGAGGGAGGGGGCAGGGGCAGGCGCTACCCAGATGGGGTGGGGTGTGGAATGGAGGCATGGGTTTTCAGGGGGAGGGGGGCAGCTCCTGCCACTGCCTGTACCCTGTGGGGGGTGGGGTGGGGCAG